CCCATGATTGTTTTCTCCAAAGATTGTATGTACCTCAGGTAAATGTTCAACTCATATGCCTGTCTTTTGTTTGGCTGGAAGCCACAGGTGTGGGTTCAATTTCAGACCTGAAGGGCAGCTAGAGGCTATAGTCTCAGTGGTTCCACCAGGCTCTATCAGACCAGCAAACCTGGTCCCCCTTTTTTTTTTCTTCCAAATGATTTTGAGTTTTGTTCCACATTGTTCTCCCTCTCTATCCAGGTTCTCCTATAAAGATCCCCCTCTGAGTAGTTGACAATGGTAGCCAGGCACCATCTAGTTCTTCTGGTCTCATAGTCGTATAGGCTACAGATCACATGGTGTACCAGTTGCTAGGACTAATTGTTTCCATGAATTTTGGTTTTCTTCTTTGCTCTGGACAAGGAAAGATCCATTGTTGCATCTAGATGGCAGCTTGCAAGGCTTTTAAGATCCCAGTCACTACTCACCAAAGTAGAAGGTGGGACAATGTTTTGTGTAGTACGTTATGCCAGTTGAGCTTGATGTCCCCTGTAACTATGGTCCCAAGCCCACTAGTTCAACTACTTGCTCCCTGTGGGTAGCTGGCTGTGACCAAGAAGTGACTACAACCTTGTCCCTTATCAGGTCTACTATATATACCTGGGAGTTCTTACAGATCATACAAATACACTTCTAGGACTATTGTCTGCCAACCCTATACATGGTCTTGGGTACACTCCCTGGTTCATAGATATACCTAATAGTTTTCAACCCGTCCACCCATCTATCCACCCATATACCTATGTTTTCTGCAAACATTTTCAAATAAATTTTTTAAATATTCATCGAAATTCAGAATTCTAAAGAAAACTTCCAAATAGCATTCTAAGAAATGGCCCAGAAAGATAATGAGGACCGAACTTCTTAAATTTCAGGATCTGAAAGCAATGATGTCTCTACTTTGGCATCACATTTGAAAAGGTAATTTGGTGATATATGAACAGAGTTTAAAAGAGAATAAAAAAGGATCACTGACTGAGAAGCTGAAGGGCAATAAACCAAACCACAAAAAAAAAAAAAAACCCTCCAAAAATATTTGGAGTTATGATAATTAGGATCCTAGTTGCCTTGTACACACTGTGGAAAACCCAAGACCACAGAACAAACCAGTACCAACTGCCGCTGAGCTAATTTTGACTCATGGAAACCTGACGTGTGTCAGACTCGAACTGTGTTCCATAGGGTGACCAGTAGCTGATTTTTCAGAAGTAAATCACCAGGCCTTCCTTCCAAGGCAGCAGAGGATTTGAATCTCTAGCCTCTTACCACACAAGGCTCTGTTAGAACAAAAGTTGTGGGAACAAAAGGAGCGGCCTGGTCCACTTCCACCTTCAGCACATACCTGGTACATAGTAGGACTGAATACATTTTTGTTGAATGAATGAGTGTTGCTGAATTAATAAACCATGCAGGAATACATGGTTTATGTGTCCAAAAATCAAAAGTTCAAGGAGAGATCCATTTTCAGCAAAGATTTTAACATGCAACATTATCTTTTCCACCGGTTTTTAAAATGCTCTCAATTATGTCTCAAATATCACTACAATTATATTCTCTTTCTCAAAAACAAAATTTACCAAATGCAGGGTAAATGGGACCTAATCTAGATTAACGTCACAAAGGAATATTTTTAAAGGAAAAACTGAGATTAGACCATTAAGAGGCAGCAAAAATCAAACATGCACATTTGATAACAACCCACTTCCATCAAAACTGTCAGTTTCCTCTGGTTTCTATTTCAGCAAGTAAGCATTATTTCAGTCTACTGACTTTAAAAGTTTTCCTTTTCATGTAGCCAAGAACATATATATCCCTGGTCTTATCTCTTTGTCCTCCCACACTGTTCCACTACTCACCTGGGTGGCTTTTTTACCAAAATTTCTTTTGTGTGGAAAACCCTCCGCCTTTCAATCTGACTCCATGGTGAAAACATCTAGCCCCTAATACTGTCCTCTCTGACTTTATGGAAGCTTCATTTCCTTGCAGCAGAGACCTGGAGTATTTCCTGATGCTAAATTGATTATGCTCCATAAAAATGAAAATAAAATCATTCAAACCACAAGATCAACTACCGACCTTTGCCCTTTCTGCCAAATGCTCATCAGAATATATCTGTCAGGACCTTGTGCTCCCATCACCCTTCTGGCACCTGTATTTTCCAAGATGGATTTACCATCCACAGAAATTTTCCCTCCCAGGTCCGAAAATCCTAAATCACATATAACCTGAAAATCTCTGCTTCCCAAGGCTAAACAACCTCAACAAATGAAAGGAACTATGAACAGAAATGTGTTTTCCTGCCATATTAATACTTTAATGGGCTTAACCTTATGCATAAATGTTTTCAGGGAGTATATAGAAGAAGGAAGGAATACATTTTAAATACCTGATACAGATTATTTCATTTGATCTTAGGAAGCAGGCAGGACAGGCATTTATTACCCTCATTTACATATAATGGAAGTATGCATCAAAAAGGTTAAGTGGCCGATGTCACATGGCTAGAAAGTGTCAGCTCAGACCTGTACTGAGGTATCACCTCTCCTAACCCAGAGGCCGTCTACTATACACACTCTCCTTTTGTTTCTGTCCTGCAGCCAAGAAACAACTTCCTAGAGGTTCAGTATTTCAAAGTCAGGGCAGACCTCTGACCTTTTTAGGGCACTATGTCCGCTTGCCAAGGCTTCCATCCCTTAAACTAAAAAGCTGGAAAGCCATCTTCTCCCTTCCTAACAGGAAACAATGTCTTCCTCTTCTATATACCACCCTTAACAACTACTTCTTTCCAAAATAACTTCTAAGAGTTCCTGTTTTAGAGGGACTTACTCATAAGACACTAATAGTCCAAAAAGTTTGCATCAGCTTATGATTTTCTCAATAAATTTCTGAGCTGATGCAACATTTCTGTCTCAAACTTTGCAGCTTAAATATCAAGAACACAGAACACTTGAAAAATTATGCAAGACAACGCTACATTTTCACTGCATCACATCTGCTTCTATGGGTCTCCTGTGAGTCATTGTCTTTTGTGTTCAGTCATCATTATAGGAAAAGCCATGTTCCACCCTAACTTATTTTATTTTTTGAAGAAAAACTCTACAACAAAGTGGAGTTATATTACAGCTTTCACCACCTCACCTAAGCAGATGAAGCAATGACCCCTAAGTTAGTGCCTAAGATGCTGTGTTCCTCCAATTTTCACCACTATCATTTGACACAAACAGAAAAAGAAGTTGCAGTTCATTTATTTATTCATCAACACACAGAAATGAAATCCTGTCAGATGCCAGGGATTAGGACCCAAAAGTGAACAAGAAGCTTTCCTTCTCTCATAGGCTGGCGGAGAAAAGGTAAAGAAATAATTACAGAACAAACTGATCGAGATTACCATGGAGGTAAGCACATGGCCTGGGTAGTGGCCATCATGAAATAAATGCTTCCTGGAAGAAGTGATTTGTGAACATTTATAAATGTCTCTCTTTTCACTTTTAGTACAGAATAAACCCAAAAGACTCAGCCCCACTCCCTGAAAGGTTATAAGCTTTACTCGCCAACAGTCAAGTCAAAAGTCTCATTTCATAGAAGAATTGTCTTCACTCCCTGTCCTAAATTTCCACCCTTAACACATGCTCCTTTCAAACACCAGTTTTAGGGAGTGCAGCAAATTCTGTCCTATATGGTAACTTCTCATATGTCTGTAGAATAGGTTTAAATGAAATAAATGCACTTTTAAAAAACATAATCATTCTTCTAACTGGAAACGAACACTGAACAATCCAAGTCCTACAAAGCATGGCCATAGCAAGAGGACATTGAGGTTCAAAAATAAATAAATAAAACACTTTAATGCAACAGAACGAAAAATCTTTTTTGAAGTCACCAGAACAACTTGAACCAAAAGAGAAACAGAAGGTTATTGTGGGGCTTTAGCCTCCAGATGATGAACACCAAACACACTGTATAGTAAACAAACAGGCCTCTGAAGTAGTGACTGATATGGTGTCCTGACAAAACATTACAACCTAAGAAATCTCTCTCCATTCACTATTTCCCAGAGTCCCACTGGCTGTTAGCTCCAGGTTTTATTTATTTATTTAGCTGGTTCGTAGGTTTATTGCTTGTAAATTATGAGGCATAGTGTGCCTTTCAAAAAAAGGCAGAGGCAAATGAAAGCAACTATGGTTTTAAAGCCCCATAAAAGCCAGTAAATGCAACAAAAATGAACTCTGCCCGCCTTTACTATAAGGATCTATTACTCCTTTATGCTACTCCAGTGAATTTAAAACTCAAATGAATGCTACCACTGCCCCACCACGAGAAGAGGTAAGGAACCCATTTAAACACCTGCTTCAGCAGGACCCGGAGGGCCTCTCTCACCAATTCACCTGCCTCAGCCAAGTAGTTGGCTAGGAAATGGGGCTGCAGACCCCGGTCACTTTCCCTCTGCTGTCCCACGAAGCAGTTCAAAATTCATACTTCCTTTTGGCCCGGCACACTCTCATTCCCACCTCCCAGACCACCAGCTGCAAGGAGGAAGACTGAACAGCCCCCAAAAGAAGGTTAGTGGCGAGCAGAACTGGTTAAGAAGCTCCTAAGCGCTTTCTGAACTCCTGCCCCGGCCCGAGGTGGGCCTGGGAATCCAACAGCTCTGCCCGACTCGAGTCCCTTTCCTGGGCTGGAAGTTCCAGGTGTGGCCCTAGGTACTGCTTAACCTCTCACCCTTGGCCTTGAGGGCTGCGGTACCTTCAACAGCCCCTTTGGATCTCAGCGCTCGCTTGGGCCCCGGGGGCCCTAACCCAGACCCACAGCTGCGCCAGAGCCCTCCCGGCCAGAGCCGCCTACTCCAGCCAAGTTTCCGCCGGGCACCCCTGCCTGACCCGCGCCCCACCGCCTGCAGCCCCCTCGCGGCCCAGGACCGCCCCGCGTCGTCTGGCGGGCCGGCGGGCCGGCGGGCCACGCACCGTGTGGGACTGTAAGCTCTGGCTCGCCTCGATGGCTGCTGTCAGCGGCACTGTGTCGTCCAGCAGCACCTTGCTGGCTGGCGGCTTTTCCATGAAGGCCATCCCGGGACGCCCAGCCGTCGACGCCTCGGGACCACAGGCAGGAACCGGAGGCGCCTACTCCCGCCGCCCGCCGGGCTCCGCCACAGCCTCCGCTGTCAACACGCGCCGCCCTGTGCGCCGCCGCCGCCCGCCGGGTTCGCAAGGTCCTAGTGCCGACCATTCCGCCGCCGTTGCTGTCAACACTCGCCGCTGCTTCCCGCCGGGTCCTAGCACCGAAGCATCAACTGTGAAACGTACGCAGGGCCCTAGCGACAACTTCCGTCTTGGCTCTGTCCTGGGCCCCAGCCGCCCAGCTTCTTGCAGTCACACCGCAGATCCGGTGCTCTTAGCATCAGGCCGCGGACCCGGGAACGCTCCCCCCTAGGCAGTCACCCCTGTTGCTGCTGTTACGTGTGGTGGAGTCTGACGGACTCATAGCGACCCCTCCTTGGGTTTCTGAGGCAGTATCACTACGGAAGTAGATTGCCCCATTTTCCTTCCGAGGAGTGGCTGGTGGGTTTGAACCGCCAGCCTTCTGGTTAGCAGTCAAGTGTCTTAGGCACTATGCTACCAGAGCTTCGGCAGTCACCCTTACGGATCCTCAAATCTGAAGACAACTTGCCCCAGCCTTGAAATACAGGAACCTTGACGCTCACAGACACCCAAACCAAGCCTCAGAAGCTGGGACGTCAGACCTGTGACCCTTAAAACTGGACCTCTCCCACTCAGTCTCCCCAGGCTCAAGAACCTGGTGCCCCAGAAAAAAGGCCTTCAGGATTAGACTCTTTGTTCTGAGCTCTGAAGTCCCAGAGACTTTCTGATACAGCCTCTCATACCCAGGCTTTACCGAGACCTTTGGATCTGGCTTCTTGGGCTTGAGAACATAAGAGCTGGGCCCTCAGAACTAGACCCTACAGTTGGAGCCCTTGGATCCCAGACCCCCAGACCCAAACTCTCAGAATTGAGAACCCAAAACAGTGGGCCTTGATCCAGAGACTCAATCTCTAGCTTTGGTCCAGTTCTCAGCTCATCCCACAAGGCCTTCAACCCCTAGAACTATCAGTCAAGATCCCACAGACTTGGGGTCCCCAATCCCGTTAACAGCCCCAAAAACCTCAACAATGAAGCCATGTTGTTGTTGTTGTTAGGTGCTACCAAGTTGGTTTCAACTCACAGCAGCCCTATATACAACAGAACGAAACACTACCCAATCTTTTGCCATCCTCAAAATCATTGCTATACTTGAGCCCACTGTTGGCAGCTACTGTGTCAACCCATCTTGTTAAGGGTCTTCCCCTTTTTCACTGACCCTATTTTATCAAGCATGGTATCTTTCTCTAGGGACTAGTCCCTACTGATAACATGACCAAAGTATGAGACGAAGTCAGGTCATTCTTGCTTCTAAAGAACATTCTGCTTGTACTTCATCCAAGACAGATTGGTTTGTTCTTCTGGCAGTTCATGATGTATTCAGTATTCTTCATGAACACCACAATCCACATGAATCAATTCTGTGGTCTTCCTTACACATTATTCAGCTTTCACATGCAAAAGTTGTTCTTCTTGTTAGGTGTCGTCGAGTCGTTTCCAACTCATAGCGACCCCATGCACAGCAGAATGAAACACTGCACAATCCCATGCCAGCTCCATGATCCCTGCTATACTTGAGCCCATCATCGCAGCCACTGTGTCAATCCATCTCATTGAAGGCTTCCCCCTCTTTGTTGACCCTCCACTCTACCAAGCATGACATCCTTCTCCAGGGAATGGTCCCTTCTGACAACATGACCAAAATAGGTGAGACGAAGTCTGGCCATTCTTGCTTC